ACTCCCCTTGCTGCCAGAGCGCGAATGACTTGCATCTGCAGCACTGTACCCCACGCCAGGCCCTGCTACAGCCGCTACCGCTGCAGTGCAGTCAGGAGTGCTCTCCTCTGTGGCCGCGGGCACCTGCATGCTGCTTCCCATCCCTGGCTGCGGAGAGAAAGTTGGCGCTGGCGGTTGGCACAGAGGCTGGTGGGAGAATGGGAGACATGGGGCAGGGGAGCAGAGGAGGCGGGGAGGATGGGAGCAGGGGAGTAGAGGAGAAGGGCAAGGAAAGAGTGATGGGAGGGTGGGGCAAGCGAAGGTGTAATTGGGAGGCTACATTGCTGCATGAAGGCGGACATGCGGCAGCAAACAGCACATGAGGAGGATCGGGGCGGCACGTAGTCACGGACACCTCACAAAGTGGCCTGGCTTACCTCGAGCATGGCAGCGAGGCATGGTGGCACGCCGCGGGCATAAGCAGGGCTGAGATTCAGGTAGAGCACCAGGCTGATTCCCTCCCCGTCCTGCTCCTGCTGTAGTAGCGGCAGAGTGGTGTAGAGCGGTACTTGCAGGTTCACCACCAGCACCTCAGGCAGCACCCACCCCTCTCCCCATTCTCCTTCTCCTCCTCCTTCTCCTTCGTCTCCGCTCTCTCCCTCTTCTCCCATCCCATAGACCTCCGCACACACGCCATCCATGCAACCATCTGCCTCCCCTTGCCCCATCTCCCCCCCTTCCACCCCCTCCTGCTGCACCTCCCCACTCTCCCCCCCACCGCCCCTGCCAAAGAGGGAAGCAGGCAGCTCCACATGCTCTGCCACGTGGCGGATTTTGAGTGGCGTGTGAAAGACGTCCACGCCCCACGGCTCGTAAATGGCCGGCGGGCAGGCGGGCACTTTGCGGCGGTCAGATAAAAAAGTTTCTCCGCGCACGTCAAAGGAAGCAGGGTCCACAGGCGACCAGGAGTTTTCAGCAGAGGAATCACCTGGGGCGCAGCGGGACACCTGAGAACCCGCCTGGGGCCACATGAGCAGGCGCTTGACAGCTGAGGAGGGGAGCAGGAAGGTGTAGGGGCAAAGAAAAGGTGTGTTGGACAAGGTTGGTGGAGGGACAGATGGGGGAAGGAGGGGGTGGGGAGTGTGAGTGAATGGCGCAGACTCAGGGGAGGAGAAAAGAGATAGATCAAAAGGGGGAGGAGAAACGAGAGAAGCAGGGGATGTGGTGAGCAGGTGGCAGGTGCGGAGAAGAACGCACAGTCATCTCGATCAGTCAGCCCTCACTCGCTTCCCCACACAACCCAGCTCAACCGCTTTACAAACCCCTGCACTCACACTTCCTGCATGCATAATCCGGAACCACAGAGCACCCCTCTCAACCGCATTACAACCCCCCCCACTCACACTCCTTGGGCGTGACGGTGCGGCGCCACAGCCCCCTGCGCCGGGCGCCTGCCATGAACGCCAGGCCCCTGGGGCTCATTCCGCCCTCCTCCCCACTCTCCCCTCCTGCCACCGGGTAAGGAGGGTGGGGGGAGGAAGGGAGGTGGTGCATTGGGGGGAGAGCGCGAAGGAGAGGATGAGTGAAGGCTGGTGCGGCAGGGGTTGGGAGGGGCGACGGAGGACAAGAGCCAGCAGGAAAAGACATTCGGTTTGAGTAAACGCAAGCCATACGCCCACCAGTGCAAGCCATGTAGGCCATACGTGGGACACTTTTAGAGATTCGGCTCATGGTATGGCGTACCAGCAAAGAGCAGCCCGCGGGCGAGTTTATGGCGGTGGGAGTGCATGGACTTCCACGTCTTGAGCGTGCTCGGCCTTGGCACGCCCACCAGCCCATCTCCTGCCACCACCGACCCACTGCTGCTGCCCACACTCTCGATTCTGGGGATATATGCGCCCCCGTACTGCCCCATTCCCGCCCCTCCCCCCATCCCCTCCCCTTCCCCCAGAGCTCCCCTTTCTGCTGCGCCCCCTCCCACCATTCCCCCCTCCATTCCCGCTCTCGCCCCTGCCCCGGCAATCCCAAGGCCAGGCAGCGGCGCCAGCTCATCGTCGGTGGAGACGGACGGCGTGGACGGCGACTTGTGGATGATGCTGGGTGACGTGGCAGTGTCTGAGTGGACGAGGGGGAACGAGGGCGAGGTGAGAGTGAGAGGGGTGGTGGGGTAGGGGGGCGGGGGGAAGGCTGTGGTGGGTGGGGTGGCTGGGGGCAGACCGGGGTGAAATGCTGGAGCAGATGGGGCTGTAATGCTGGCAGTACCATCGGTGGCAGCAGCAGCACTTGTGCTGTGGCCACCGGCAGTGGCAGCAGTGGCAGTGGCGGCGGCGGTGGCAGCAGCAGCGGGCGGGTGGGGGGAGAGGCGGGGCGTCCTGGCAGTGCAGGCGGACGTGTCTAGCGGACTGCGGGAGGAAAGACCCAGGAAGCTGTCGTCTGTTGACAGCTTGCGCGCATGAAACCCCGCTCCCCCCCCTCCCCCGCCTCCCCCACTCCACCTGCCCCCGCTCGACACCCCACTGCGCCCACTGCCCGTCCCCGCCGTCCCCCCCCGCCCCTCCCTGCTCACCCCCCCTCTCGCCCCCCTCTGGTGCCCCCCTTCCCTGCTGGCGGGGGTGGGGGGGAGGGCGTGGGGCGGGCGGGGGAGGGAGGATGCTGCGGCGGTGTGGGGCCGAGGGGGGGGCGCGGACGGTTGGGGGGCGGAAAGGCTGGGGAGGGAAGGGGCGGTGGCGGAGGGAGTGATGGTGGGGAGAGGGCCCAAGGGGGTGGCGTCCGTGGGAGGAGCCGCGGAGAGGGGTGGCGAAGAAAGGTTGAGAGGAGGGGAGGTGAGGGCGGAGGCGAGGGCGGAAGGAGAAGAGGCGGTTGCGTCAGGGTGAGTAGACAATGAGGGAGGGTAGGGAGGGCAAGTGAGAGAGGGATCCACAGGGACAGGGAGCACCTGAGTGGGCGCAGCGGTGGTGAGAGGAGAATACCCACTGATGCCAGTGACAGCACCAGTGCTCCCTGCCGCCACATCCCCATTGGCTAGCGAGTCACTCTCCACTCTCCCACGCGCTGCTTCGCCCCTGCCCCCCTCGCCCACACCTCCCTCGTGTGGAATCTCCCGTGATGCACTCGTGGTGTCTCGCTCTCGCGCTGACCCTGAAGCTGCTTCCCACGCGCCTGCTCCGTCCGCCGCGGCCGCACGGCTGGATGAAACGCCGTCAGCGTTCAGGCGTGCAGATGAAACGCTACCGACCGTCGCTACGTCGGATGAAACCGTGTCGTCCGTACGCACTGAGAGGTCATGCGTTTCACCGGACCCCACGACAGCAGCAGCAGAAGACACGATACAGACACAGCCTCGCTCCTCCACTCCTAACGCCCTCTCCTGCTCCCTCTCTGCCCCTGCCATTGACTCACCTCTCCCCCCAACCCTATCACTACCACGCTCGTATCCCCCCACGTCCTCCCCCTGTCCGTGCGCGCCCGTCATCCCCGCATGCTCTCCACCTCCGCTGAAACCCGCCATAGCATACCCATGATGGGTTCTCACCTCGTCGTCTCTACGCCCAGGATCCACTACAAGCACCTCCGCTACACCGCCGCCTTCTAATTTAAGCAAGCGCGCGCCGTGGTCCTTGTGAAACACGCCGCGCCAGCTGAAGCACCCTTTTCCCAGAATGTCCGGGCTGCTCACCGGCATTCCGCCCGCGCCCATTCCGCCCGCCGCCATTCCGCCTACAGCTTCTCCAGCGCTCAAAGCCTCTGCAGTTCCGCTCCATTCTCCGCTGGAGTGGGTAGCGGCGGACGCCGCGGACTCTTCCGGGGGCCACCCCCTCGCACCGTCGGAGTGATGGAGATTCTTGGACTTGTGCGCTTTGACACGTGGCTTGTACATAATTGCTGATGTGTTGCTCCTAGCGAACAGTATAACTTAGCGATTTACCCAAGGGTAAGAAGATGCTTCGATACGAGGTGCATTGAAAGAGTTGCTAGGCTATCTGAATCTGAAAAGACCAGGTCAGGTCGGAAGCAACGAGGCATCCGTCAAATGCGCGGCTAATGCGCGTGAATGGTCGCAAGCGCTGGTGTTCTGCGCAGACAAGATCATGCTCCACAATGAAATCCACCCTTTTGGTTCGATGATGTGGAAATGACCAGTGAGAGGATGGTAAGCAGGCAGTTGTGAATGTAGCGGGAGTAGAATTGGCGTTGAGTACACTGAAAGTATTCTATGTCTCTTTGACGAGGCTGGCTCTGAGCAGAACAGCCTGGCGGATTGCACCGTCACCGGATTGCGCGGCGGTCTGACTCTCTGGGCGCATTGGTGAATTGTGAATTCCCCCCCCCCCCCCGCAACCCAACCCCAGCAGCAGGCATCGCGCGCTTACAGGTTGCCCAAATCCCCAGGCTTGTCGGACTTCCCTTCCGCGACCTCCAGCGAATTTATGAGAGCTGTGGCCGACCTGCGGTGTGCCCCAATTCCAAGGTTCGTCGTCACTCGAACCTCTGGTTGTTGCCAGCTAGATATCGCGAAGGATGTGCGAAGCCTTTGGCGAAAGTCGGCGATCTTGTGGCTCTCATCATGTTTCTATCGCCTCGCACTGCCCATATTTTGGAAGATTCATTTCGGGAATATCTGACATCTGTACCAGGGCGCGGTCGATCAAACCACTTCATGTCGCCAACTTGAACCCTGTGTCCTCCTTTGTCACGAGTGCTTTCGCCTTGGGATTACCTTGGCACGGCTTTCACTGCCCTTGCTCAACGGCCCACCTTCTCCCTACCCTCCACACTTCGCCTCCAAGCCCACTCTCAGCGCATCACTCCGTTTCAGTCAATGGAAAACTGAATGAAGCTGTTTGGCCGTTCTAGTCAATGTTGGAAAGATGAGCACCCATAAATTACTGTATGGATGTTTTAACTAGAGACCTCACTCGTGTTTTTCCTTTGAAATCTGCTTTTCTGCTACGATGTCGCGAGGAGAAGATGCCGACTTGGAGGTCCCTCTCGAGTTCATCTGCCCTTTATCGGATCGCGTTATGGCGGAGCCCGTAATTATCGCCTCGGGATTGACGTACGAGCGCGAGTATATCCAAGCCTGGTTCGACGCCGGTCACATGACCTGCCCGCGGTCAGGAGAAAAAGTTCGCCACACCGAGTACTTTCCGAATGTGGCTCTCAAGGCGTTGATCATGGAGTGGTGCGCCAAGCACAACGTTAAGCTTTCTGCCGGCCAGAAACAAACCGTCAGTCGCCAGGCGGCAACCAATCAGGACGTCCGACATATGTTATCACTTCCGCATGAGCAAGCCGACCAATCAGGTCACGCGAAAGGTCATCGCAGAACTCGTTCCGCAGCAGATTCCGCGTTCTTCGGGAGCTTTAACTCCAACAGTGCGCTCCGCTCCGGCAGTGCGCGTGAGGGGCCGCGGAACAGCGATGATGGCGCGGGGAGCAGCGGGAGCGAGATGGCCGCACGCAACCGACGGCAGGCCCTTTCGACAATGTCCGCGCGGGAGCGCGAGGCTCCCGGCGGTCGAGAAGCGGACGCGCAGCGGCGGCGCAGTCACGAGCAGCAGAGAATGGCCGTCGCCGGGTTGAGGGAAGCTGCACATGAGGGTTCAAACGCAGCCAGTCACGGCAGGGGACCTGCTTCGTTAACGGACGGACTCGCCTCCCCGGGGAGTAGGGCTGCAGGGTTGGGTTTAAATACAGCAGGCGTACGAACAGCAGCCATGGACTCGGGTGCCCCACGCATGGCACGAGCGGGAACTGCGCCGGTAGGGGGAGCGCATCCGCTGGAGCGGAAGAAAGGGCCCGTCGCGGCGCCCCATTTGCGGCCTGACCGCCGGCGCACTATGAGCTGGGACGGCAGCCACGACCCTCTGGCTGCCGGCCGGCTAGACCCGTCTGTTCTGGCTGGAGCTGTGGTGTACGATCGAGCAGCGTCCCCGGTGGCGGGATCAGGCCCGCAAACAGGCCGGGAACCGCGCCCGTCGTCCAGCGGGGCTGGCTCGTTAGCAGCACGCAGACAGCGCAGGCTGTCCCCGTTACAAGCCTCAGGCAAGCTCACCAGTCCGCTTGTCAATCCTGAAGCCGTGGCCTCCCCGCAGCTGCCACCGCGGGCAGGAGGGGTGACATCAGGGGCGGGAGTTAGGGTTTCCGCGCGGGAAGGGGCGGGCGGCGGGCTGTGGTCGCCTCAGGAGCAGGCAAGCGGGGGCCATGGCAGGGGGCCCAGTGGCGGGGCGGCGGCAGGGGGGAGCGCCGCAGCTGAAATGCAGGTAGGACCTGGGATTCCGAGGGGAGGGTCGATAACTGCGAGCTCACCCAGGCACAGGCTCTCTAGAGGAAGCAGTGGGGGCAGTAGCACGGGCGCCCCCCTCCCTCCCCTGTCCCCTCAGGTTCAGCAGGTGATGCAGCAGCAGCACAGACATTCAGGGCAGCAGCAGGGATCGCAGGTACCTCCGCCACGTGCAATGACAACCGTTGATGGGATGGTTGAGGCGATGGATCGAGGGTCAGCAGAGCAGCGGGTGGAAGCGGTGGTGCAGCTGAGAGCAGCAGTGAAGGAGAGCTGTGAGAACAGGCAGCGGCTGCTGGAGCGAGAAGACGGGGTGCCCATCCTTCTTGACTTTCTCGATGAGGCCGTTGCTGCTCTGGGCGGAGGGGGAGGGAGGGCGGCAGGGCGGGAGGGGCGGGGGCGGGGAGTGATGGATCCTGCACTGGTGGTGGACTGTGCAGTGGCTGTGGTGCTACAGCTGTGCCAGTCGCGCGATGGCGCTGCCGAGTTCATTGACGTGGGCGGCGTGCCGACCCTCGTGGATGTGCTCTCTCACACTGGGCCAGCCAGCAAGGCAGGAGCAGGAGCGTCAGCAGGAGTTGCATCAGGCATTTCGAGCATGGTGAAGGGGAATGCAGCTGCGGCGCTGTTTGCGCTTTCCTCGTGGGACGATGTGATGGATGAATCTGTGAACGCGAGCAGGAATGGCAACGGGGCTGGCCCGAGCAGGAACATCCACAAGACAAAGATTCAAGCTGCCGGGGCCATTCCCTCGCTTGTCCGTTTGCTCACAAATGAGACAGCGCGGTGCAGAAAGGATGCAGGGCTTGCCCTCTTCTCCCTCTCACAGGACCTGTCGTGTGCAAATGAGATCGTGAGGGAAGGCGCTGTGGGCATTCTAGTGGATCTTCTGGGGGATAAAAGGCCAGGGGTTGAGGAGAAGGCCATGGCTGTGTTGGCCAATCTTGCGAGGACACGTGGCGGGCAAGAGGCGCTGTTGGCAGTGGAAGGGACGCTTGTGATATCGGATGTGCTGGAGAGTGAGTCTGAGAGGGCAAGGGAGGAGGCGCTGTGGACGCTGCACCATCTGGTTACCACAGGGGTTGTGGCGCCTGCGGTGCTGCTGAATGATGGAGCGCTGTTCCCGATTGCAAAGCTGGCTTGCAAGAAAGGGGCTCTTGCGGAGGCAAAGGAGTTGCACCGGATTTTGATGACTGCGAGAAAAGGTGGTGGTGAAAAATGATGTGGTTAGTGCAGGTAGGATGATTAGGGTCAGTAAGCTGCACGGCTGTTCTTGAAGCAGTTTATGATGAAAATTCGTACTAAACAGTAGTTGTCTGGTTTGACTAGAAGCTTTCAGAAAAGTAATCATGAAATGTGCTGGTGAAGATTTGGGTGGAGTATGAATATTACTATTAATGCTGGTTCAAACCACCGTACGCGCTGCAACTCTGATTGAGCTTACCTAGATGTTGGGTGGATATTTGTCAGACTGTCTGCCGTGGCAGTCTGGTCTGGAGTCTAACCAAAACATGCCGCCCACGTGACCGCCACAGCCCAGGCCTGACACAACCCCACTTTCTCCTTTTCGTGGGAACTGTCGCGTTACATTTTGTTTCGCAATCTTTCGTCGACTCGTCCCACCAAACACCAGAGGCTACCAACCAACTGTTCCTCCTCCACGCACCTGGTGCCTGCTAAGGTAAGGTATTGTCGCGTGACTGTGAGCTGAGCTGTCGTCCTGTCCGCCACCACAAGCCAATCATTCGCCAGCGGATGCTGGTCGATTCATCCATTCCGTATGCGGCGGGTGCCTCGGCTAGCGTGTTTCACTTATTGACCTAGCGCGCTGCCAGGTTATAGGTTTCTAATATTGGAGAAAGTTGGTGCTCGGATCGTCTGAAGGTAGTTCACTTTATTCCGCGACGCTCCATGCTACATTGCTCAGCGCTTTCCGTCCTCGTGTCGCATTCTGCCGAAGCACACTGCGATTTAGCGCATGATGTAGGTTAACGCTTCAACAATATAAATATTAGTGTTTATTCCCACGTATTGCCTTACACTAAAACCGGTTCCTTGATAGAATGGCTACCGTAACTCACACATAACGCAACTGCACTTGAAATTTTGCTTTCCGACTCGCCTTCTCGTCTCGTGTCGTTTCAGCAGCAATCGTATACCGGCCGTCACACACCATCCCCCCCACATCATCTCTCCAAACAGTCTGTAACCACCTTCACTGCCGGCCATCATGGGTTGGAACAACCTATTCGGCAAAAAGGGCGACTCGCTGACTCAATCCAACTCCCAGCGCAACCTCAGTAAGGCTCGGCGGCAGAAAGGCGACGCGGAGTCATCCTCTCCAGGGGGGGCGCAAGCGGCGGAGGCGCAGGAGGCGGCGCAGCGCTCCCCGCAGGCGTCGCAGCAGCCGCTGGCGTCGCCCACGCAACTATCCCCGAAACCGATGGGTGCGGGGGGGCAGCAGGGGGTTCTGCAGCGGGGAGCACGCGACGAGCAGCAGCAGCGGCAACAGCAGCAGTTTGCGCAGCGCCCGCAAGCGCAGCCGTCGCAGGTGCAAGCGCACCCGCCGCCCCCTCCGCAGCAGCAAGCGCCGTTCTCTCAGCCGCTCATGCAGGCTCCCCATTGGACGGGCGGAGGCTCCGCCGCCGCCGCTACCGGGCGGAGAAGCGCGGAGCGCAGCAGAGCGCAGGAGGGCATGGGCGGAACAGGGCCGGGGGGAACGAGCCCAATGGGGGGGGTTAACATGAGCGCATTGGTTGGGGCGACGATGGTTGGGGCAGTGGGGGGAGCAACTCCGCCCAGGGACGCGCGGGTGCCTGGCGCGGGCGCGGGAGGGGTGCAGGCGAAGGCGCAGCAGGACGACGGCATGGGGCGAGGCGCGTACCCCGCCTCGCGCGACTACTACCCCTCGCAGGGCGTCCCCACGCCGCACGGCACAGCCTCGGGCGCAGCTTCGGAACCCTGGCGCCAAGCCAGCGAGGCAGGCTCGGCGGTACGGCCGTGGGAGGTGCTGGGGGGGATGAAGGAGGAGGAGTGGGCGGCGTTCAAGGGGTGGGTGGAGTCCACGTGGCGCTGCCGCCGCTGTGGCAGCCCCAGGGACGACTTCACCGAGCACCCTGTAGCCATGGCCCTGCTGCAGCGCTGCGGTATCACCCCCCCCAGCACCGCCGGCCAACCCGCCTCCTCCCCCCTCCACTCGGACGGCAGCGGAAGGTCCTCCGCACCTTCCTGGCAGCAGCAGAGAGGAGGGGATGTGCAGAGGGGGGGTGTGGACGCGCGCAGTCACGGGGGCGGGTCCCCCCTGAATCCCTCCTCGAAGCGCCACTCCTTCGATGCCTCCCCCCTTGCCTCCACCACCACCGCCAGCACCTTCACCGCCGGGCTAGGCCCGGACGCATGCCCGCACCTGCGCGGCAGCAGCGCGGACGGGGAGGGCAGCGGGGAGAACAGCGGGCGGCTCGGCCCTGGGGGGGACTACCAGGCGCAGGGGAACAGAAACTTTGACGAAAGCGCCCTGCAGGAGGTGCGCGCGCGGCTGGAGATGGGGGGAGTGGGCGGAGGCGGGGGAAGAGGCGGAGGGGGGCCTGGGGGCGGGGGCGGGCTGGCGCGGACGATGAGCAACACGGAGGTGCTGCAGAGGAAGCTGCTGGCGGCCATCACGCGCGCGCACCAGGTGTATTTCATCGACAAGGAGCCGAACGGCAGCCTGGTGTTTGACTACCTGCTGTCCGCGCTGCTGGAGGTCACCGAGTCCATGTTTGGATTCATCTCGTCCGCTCTGCTCAAGGCCGACGGCACACCGTACCTCAAGGTGCGTGTGATGATGGCTTGCCTCACGCGGTGATGCAACAAGCTGTCATCAGCAGGCTGTGCACGCTGCCACGCCGCCTCTCCTGTTTCTGCCGCTCCTTCAACCTCCTTCTCTCCCCACCATCACTCACTGCTCTCTCCCTCCCCTTCCCCTCATCCCCTCCTCCGCCCCACACTCCCTCCAGACGCACGCGATGACGAACGTGGCGTGGAGCAAGGAGCTGCGCGCGTGGTACGCGGCGAACAGCCACAAGGGGTTGGTGTTCACCAACCTCAACACGCTGCACGGCACCGTCGTGCTCACAGGGCAGCAGGTGGGTTGGTGTTGAGGGCGAGAAGGGCCAGCAGGCGCATGCCGGGCACGTGCTGCTGGCATGACGCAGCTGTTCACGCGGCAGCAGGTGAGCGAGAAGCCAAGGGCGAACAGCCACAAGGGGCTGGGCTGGTGTGCACCAACCTCAACACGCTGCACGGCACTGTGGTGCTCACGGGGCAACAGGTGGGTTAGAGAGGGCAGCAAATGGTCGAGAGCAGGCAGCAGCAGGTGGTGAACCCAGGTGCACCGCTTGAGAGTTGGTGGCAGGCAGGCATGCATGTGGTGTGGTGTGGTGTGGTGTGGTGTGGTGTGGTGTGGTGTGGTGTGCTGCTCCCAGGCCAGCAGGTTTATGCAAGGGGGACAAACTGGCAGCCAGCAGGCTGTTGCATTTGCTTCTGCGTATGTGAATCCAGAGCACACCCACCTGCCTGCTCTCCTGATAGAGCGTTTCATGGTCATCCCCCTCTACACGTGGCCAGCCGAGCACTCACGCACTCTTTCCTATTCCAATGCCAATGCCAATGCCCTGCCCTGCCGTGCCCTGCCCTGCGCTCAGGTGCTCACGAATGACGCGCGCAACAACCCCAGGTCCAGGGGAGTCCCGCCAGGCCACCCTTTGATCGACAAGTTCATGGGCATCCCCCTCTACACCGGCACCGAGCTCATCGGCGCCTTTGCCGTCGCCAACCACGTACTTTCACTCCCTCACTCTCTCCTATGCTAATGCCTGCCCTGCCCTGCCCACAGGTGCTGACGAACGACGCTCGCAACGACCCCAGGTCGAGAGGAGTCCCTCCAGGCCACCCTTTGATCGACAAGTTCATGGGCATCCCCCTCTACACCGGCACCGAGCTCATCGGCGTCTTTGCCGTCGCCAACCGGGCGGCGGGGTACGACGAGCAGCTCGTGAAGGAGATCGAGCCTCTCACCATGACCATCGCCCAGATGATCTATGCCGTGAATGAGCGGAAGAGGAGGAAGGAGGCGGAGCTTCACTTGTCGAGCGTAGTGCAGGTGAGTAACAGGAGAAAGAGAAGGAGTGGGAGAGGGAGAGGGAGAGGGAGAGGGAGATGGAACTGCTCACCATGACGATAGCGTAGATAATTCAGAAGGAAGAGGTGCAAGGAAGCAGAGCTGCACTTATTGAGCCTTGTGCAGTTAAGTAACTTGAAATAGAGGGGGCGAGGAAGAGAGGGAGATGGCAGAGCGCAGAGCACCCACGTCATGTCCATGAGCGATAGAGGGGGAGAGGGAGGTGGAGGGGAGGAGGGCAGGAGGGAGAGGGCAGGAAGGGGCGAGAGGACAGCAGGAGGCAAGAGGGCAGCAGGCAGAGCGCATAGCACCCACGTGACGTCCATGAGCCTTTCTCTTGACGACTCTCTCATGGACGCATGGCACCCACTCTCTGCTCTCACCCCCTTCCCACCCTTCCAGGTGGCAAAGGAGGGAATCATGTCCCTGGCCCACAGCGGCCATGTGACGTCAATGAACCTGTCAGCGCGGCAGATGTTTGGCTTCGCGCAGCCGGGGGACGCGCCCCTGCCGGGCAGCATGCGCGAGGGCGTGGCGGCGCCCGCCAACCTGCAGCTCAAGGACCTGCTCGTGGAGATCGATGGGCACCGCGACATGCTCACTGCTGGAGGTGTGTGCTGTTGGGCTTGCTCTTGTGTGCAGTGTTGCTGTGCTATATTGGAGTTGACATGCTCGTGCTCTTGAGTTGAGAGGGCGTGGCTGCACCCGCCAACCTGCAGCTCAAGGACCTTCGTGGAGATTGATGGGCACCGCGACATGCTCCCTGGCGGGGGTGCGTGCTGCTCCGGGAGGAGGGAAGGGGGGTGGGTGCTAATGGGGCTTCGCTCTGAGGAAGAACGGGGGAGGATGTGGCAGGAATTGCTCTTGTAGGGTGAGCGGTGCGGTGGTGCTTTGAGCGTGCTGCGCCATCTCCCTCTCCCACCGCTCCTCTCTCTCCTCTTTCCCACCCCCCTTTTTTGTCCTCCTTCGTGCACCAGGGCTGGACCACGCGTCAGGGCAGGTGCACAAGGGCACTGGGTTCCGCACGGACGGCAGCACGTTCCCCCTCGAGATCTCGCTGTCCAAGGGCAACTACGACACCGTCTTCTATGTCGCGGTGCTCAGAGACATCTCCGAACGACTCGAGGCGGAGAAGAAGCTCAAGGTGAGAAAGGGCGTTGTTAGGGAGACACTGTATCAGGCAGTGGTGCGTCAGAGTGCACCACCTCCTGAGGTGACTTTTGAGTCGACTCAAAAGTCAGAGTGCACCACCTCCTGGGTCCCCATCCCCTCACCATTTGTCCATGTGCCACTCCGTGCGCCACTCACCAATCCCACATGCTCCATTCTGCACTCTCCCACCGTGCATGCAAGCAGGAGAGCGAGGAGCGGTGGCTGTATGCCCTGTCGGGCAGTGATGACGGCGTGTGGGACTGGAACGTGCGCGACAACACCATGTTCTTCTCCGACCGCTGGAAGCAGATGCTCGGGTGAGTGGCGCGAAGGGTGGGTGAGTGCATGCTTGGGCACTTGGATGAGGTGAGTGCAGCACATGCTGGGTGAAATTAATGTGACTGATGGAAGCGAGATCAATCGGACCAGCTGGAGTGCGACACATGGGCTGGTATTTGCCTTCACACCCCTCCCACTCATGCCCGCCTCCCAATTCTACTTCTTCCCACTCCGCCTCCCCTCCTTCCTCCAGCTACGAGCCGGGCGACATTGGTTCGACGCTAGACGACTGGGAGCGGCTGCTCCACCCGGAGGACAAGGACCGCGCGTACGCGGACCTGAAGGAGCATCTGGACGGCGTGACGGCGCAGTTTGTGAACGAGCAGCGGCTGCGGTGCAAGGACGGGTCGTGGCGGTGGTTCCTGCACCGCGGCAAGCTGCTCTCCAAGACGGACGACGGGGAACCGCTGCGCTTTGTGGGCACGCACACGGACATCACGGATAGGAAGGTTGCAGAGCAGGCGATGATGGATGCCAAGGACGAGGCTGAGAGGGTGTCTCGGGCCAAAGCAGGTGCGCAGACATGTTGCTCCGACCTTTCCCCCCCTCTCCCGCCCTCTCCCCCACCACCACCACGGCCTTCCGTCCCTTCCCTCAAACCACTCGCATCAAAGCACTCACCGCTGCGGTTCGTGGCCACGCACGCGGATAACACGGTCCGCAAGGTGGCGGAGCAGGCGATGATGGATGCTAAGGACGAGGCTGAAAGGGTGTCCAGCGCCAAAGTAGGTGTGTAGGGCCACTCTTGTCTTGTGCCTTCCCTTCTTCCTGCAAGTAGCTAGCACATCCCTCTCCCCCTCCCCCCACTTTCCCCTACATCACCCTCCCGACCTTCCTCCACCTTCCCAACAACCCCCTCCCCTCCCTTCACTTGCAGACTTCCTAGCCACTATGTGCTAGCCACTATGTGCTAGCCACTATGTGCTAGCTAGCCACTATGTGCTAGCCACTATGTGCTAGCCACTATGTGCTAGCTAGCCACTATGTGCTAGCCACTATGTGCTAGCCACTATGTGCTAGCCACTATGTGCTAGCCACTATGTGCTAGCCACTATGTGCTAGCCACTATGTGCTAGCCACTATGTGCTAGCCACTATGTGCTAGCCACTATGTGCTAGCTAGCCACTATGTGCTAGCCACTATGTGCTAGCCACTATGTGCTAGCCACTATGTGCTAGCTAGCCACTATGTGCTAGCCACTATGTGCTAGCCACTATGTGCTAGCCACTATGTGCTAGCCACTATGTGCTAGCCACTATGTGCTTGCTAGCCACTATGTGCTAGCCACTGTGCTAGCCACTATGTGCTAGCCACTATGTGCTAGCTAGCCACTATGTGCTAGCCACTATGTGCTAGCTAGCCACTATGTGCTAGCCACTATGTGCTAGCTAGCCACTATGTGCTAGCTAGCCACTATGTGCTAGCCACTATGTGCTAGCCACTATGTGCTAGCTAGCCACTATGTGCTAGCCACTATGTGCTAGCCACTATGTGCTAGCCACTATGTGCTAGCCACTATGTGCTAGCCACTATGTGCTAGCCACCATGAACGGAGTGGTGGGCATGACTACCTTCCTTGTCGGCATGACAGCCCTCCTTTTAGACACCGACCTCACGCCCGACCAGCGCGACCGTGCAGTCACGATCCGGGATTCAGGCGACATGCTGCTGCTGCAGATCATCAACGACATTCTCCACTACTCCAAGATCAAGCAAGCTCTTTTCTTCCCTTTTCCCCTCCCCCTCCCCTCCCGCCTCCAGATTTCCTCGCCACAATGAGCCACGAGATCAGGACACCCATGAACGGCGTGGTGGGCATGACAGCCCTGCTCCTTGACACAGACTTAACCCCCGAGCAGCGCGACCGCGTGGTGACCATTCGAGACTCGGGAGACATGCTGCTGCAGATCATCAACGACATCCTCGACTACTCCAAGATCGAGTCGGGCAAGCTGGACATGGAGCAGACGCTCTTCAACGTCGTTCAAGCAGTAGAGAGGGTCGCGGAGCTGCTCATTCACAACGCCGAGTCCAAGGGGTTAGATATCGTCATTGAGATCGAGCCGGACACGCCCGTGTTCCTGGTGGGGGACGCCGGGCGCACGCTGCAGGTGCTGATTAATCTGGTGTCGAATGCGATTAAGTTCACTGAGAAGGGGTATGTGAAGTTTCGGTTGGAGGCGGAGATCGGCGCGCCGTGCCTGCTGCAGCTTCCCTCCTCCACCTCCGCCTCTTCCGCCGCTGCTGCTGCTGCTGCCGCTGCTGCTGCAGCGGGGGGTGCGGCTGGGTCCCCTTTCAGGGAGTCTCCTGGTGCGAGTGGCATGAACAGTCCCGCGCACGGGGCGTCAGGGAGCATAGGGGCGGCGATGCTGGCAGCGCAGCAGGAGGCGCGGGCGGCACGGGCACGCGCGCAGGAGGCAGCGGCGGCACAGGAGGCGGGGGTGCTGTACTGGGTGTGCCACGTCAGCGACACGGGGATTGGTATTCCCAAGGAGCGCATTGGCCGACTTTTCACCAAGTTTTCGCAGGTGGGTCCACCCACCTGATCTGGCTAAGTTTCAGCCCCTCTCTCAGCCAAAATCTCAAACCCTGGTTGACTTGCCATTCTGCCTAACTATGCATGCCTGCCGTTCCTGCTCTGCCATCTGTGCCCTGCCTTTTGAGACGTCTCAAAAGCCGTTCCTGCTCTGCCATCTGTGCCCTGCCTCACGTGTGTCTCCTGCCCCCTGGCATGTCCCTGCTGTGCCTCACCCCCCCGCCTTCAGGTGGACGCATCCACAACACGAAGGTTCGGAGGAACAGGGCTCGGCCTAGCCATCTCAAAGCAGCTGGTGGAGCTCATGGGCGGCCGCATCTCAGTGCACAGCGAGTTCCGCCGAGGCTCCACCTTCACAGTGCGCCTGCCCGTCAACACCCACCACCCCGCCTACGCCACCGTCGCCGCGCTCAACCCGCCGCTCCCCACACCCTCCACGCCCTCAGCCCACTCGGGCCACTCCGCGTCGCTGCCCTCCCCGGATTCCCCTGCTGCGGCCGGCGCGCCGTCCAAGGCGCCGCCCTCCTCGTCCGGCCCGCTGCCCGTGCCGCTGGTTGTGCCTCCGGAGTTCCAATCCATTCGTGTGCTGCTCGTCAGCCCTCTGGAGGTGAGTGCCGCTCTATACCTGCCCCTCCCCACCCCCTCCACGCCGTCCAAGGCGCCGCCCTCGTCCGGCCCGCTGCCCGTGCCACTGGTTGTACCGCCAGAGTTCCAATCCATTCGTGTGCTGCTCGTCAGCCCGCTGGAGGTGAGTCAATCCGGTGCTCTTTTGTTGCGACTTTTGAGGCGCCTCAAGGGTCGTCGTTGGGTGCGCTGCCGGTGCCGCTGGTGCTGCCCCCGGAGTTCCGGTCCATCCGCGTGCTGCTCGCCAGCCCGCTTGAGGTGAGAGCAAGGTGGGCCTGTGGTTGAAGCGCCTGAGAAGCCACTTGCATTCCCCGCAAGCTACTGCCCGTGCCACTGGTGGTGCTGCCAAAGTTCCAATCTATTCCTGTGCTGCTTGTCAGCCCACTCGAGGTAAACTCTTGCACACGACAGCCTACTCAGGTTCACCCCCTTCTCAGGTTCACCCCCTTCTCATGTTCACCCCCTTCTCAGGTTCACCCCCTTCTCAGGTTCACCCCCTTCTCAGGTTCGCCCCCTTCTCAGGTTCGCCCCCTTCTAAGGTTCGCCCCCTTCTCAGGTTCGCCCCCTTCTAAGGTTCGCCCCCTTCTCAGGTTCGCCCCCTTCTAAGGTTCGCCCCCTTCTCTGGTGCTGCTCCTCACGCTTTTCTTCCCATGTCCCCTCACCCTCGTCTCCACCCCCCCCCCCCCCCCCCCCCATTACCCCCAGGTGAGCACTAGCGCCATGCAGAAGCAGCTGGAGGCATGGAAGGTGCTGCACGCATGCCATCCACTCTGGTCCCTCCCTCCCTCCCTCCCTCCCTCCCTCCCTCCCTCCCTCCCTCCCTCCCTCCCTCCCTCCCTCCCTCCCTCCCTCCCTCCCTCCCTCCCTCCCTCCCTCCCTCCCTACCATCCTCATTCCCCCTCACCCTTTCCTTCCAATGTCCTCCCACCCTTCTCCTCCCAACCACCCCCCTTTCACCCCCAGGTGACAGTGAGCGCCATGCAGAAGCAGCTGGAGGCATGGAAGGTGCCGCACGCGTGCCTCACCTGCACGCCAGAGGAGGCCTTCCTCAAACGCCTCCCGGCCGGCACTCTGCCGCCCTCGCCGCCCCTGCCAGCCAGCCAACCAGCGCCCGGCACGTGGCGAGACGGGTCGGCGCGCAAGGGGCTGGCGGAGGATTACGATTTGATTGTGATTGACTGCTCCAACAAGCCGCAGCTCATTGACCCCATGTCCTCTGTGAGTGGGCTTAGCGTGCTGCTGTAGCGTGCTGTTCCCGAGGCGACTCAAAAAGGGGCTGGCAGGGGACTATGATTCGATTGTGGTTGACTGCTCCAGCGAGCCACAACTGATTGACCCCATGTCCTCTGTAAGTGGGGGTTGTAGCGTGCTGCTGCTGTAGCATGCTGTTTCCATCGGTCTCCTCTCCTTGCAGGCAGCGTGTGCACATGATGCTGCTGTTGTCCCACATCCCTTGCCAACTCCCCAGCCTTCCCATCTCATTCTTCTCTCATTCCTCTCCCTTGCTTCCCTCGCCCCCCCTCCCCTCCCTGTGTGCGCTCCTGCAGGCGGTGTTGGAGATGGGAGCGCCCAAGTCCCCATCCCCCCCAAGTCCCCATCCCCCCCAAGTCCCCATCCCCCCCAAGTCCCCATCCCCCCCAAGTCCCCATCCCCCCCAAGTCCCCATCCCCTCCAAGTCCCCATCCCCCCCAAGTCCCCATCCCCCCCATCTCATTCTTCCCCCCTCCCTCTCCGTCCCTCTCCCTCCCCTCCCCCCCCTACAGGCGGTGTTGGAGATGCTGGGTCGGGAGCGAGTGGGGGTGGTGGTGCTGCTGAAGCGCTCTCAGGTGACGGAGAGGACAGAGGGCGAGCTCAAGGCTGTGCGCTACTGGCGTGACCGCTGCCCCGCCATGCTCAATAAGCCCATGGTACGCCCCGCCATGCTCAATAAGCCCATGGTACGCCCCGCCATGCTCAATAAGCCCATGGTACGCCCCGCCATGCTCAATAAGCCCATGGTACGCCCCGCCATGCTCAATAAGCCCATGGTACGCCCCGCCATGCTCAATAAGCCCATGGTACGCCCCGCCATGCTCAATAAGCCCATGGTACGCCCCGCCATGCTCAATAAGCCCATGGTACGCCCCGCCATGCTCAATAAGCCCATGGTACGCCCCGCCATGCTCAATAAGCCCATGGTACGCCCCGCCATGCTCAATAAGCCCATGGTACACCCTGCCATGCTCAATAAGCCCATGGTACGCCTCGCCATGCTCAATAAGCCCATGGTACGCCCCGCCATGCTCAATAAGCCCATGGTACGCCCCGCCATGCTCAATAAGCCCATGGTACGCCCCGCCATGCTCAATAAGCCCATGGTACGCCCCGCCATGCTCAATAAGCCCATGGTATGCACGCGGAGTAGGCAACCATGGGTTTTGCAATGAAGCATTGGGAGATGAAGTGTGTTGTCTCAACTGCGGGGCGTGATGCAGCCTGGCGTGCAGCTCAATCATGGCAGCAGCAGCAGCAGCAGCAGCAGCAGCAGCAGCAGCAGCAGCAGCAGCAGCAGCAGGCGCTCGTCCAGTTTCATTGCCTCCCATGTCGACAACCTTGGAATCACCCCCTTCCTCTCCGCCACTACCTCTCTCCTGTCATTTCCCCTCCTGTCAACGTCCCCCTGTGTGCCATTAGGTGTGACCCAAGGCACTCCTGGAGGCAAAGGAAGCAGCCGTGCAGATCACCAACGGCGAAGGGCTGTTTCTGTCTGCTGCCCCCTTAGTCTTTCTCTCTCCTCGTCCGCCCTCCCCTCCCCCCCACACGTGCAGGTGCGTCCCAAGGCACTGCTGAAGGCCATGGAATCGGCCATGCGGAGCACGCCAGGCGGCGACGGGCTGTTCCTGTGCCCATTGCCTCCTTATTCACTATCCCCCTCCTCTGTCCCTCCCCTTCCCCTTCCCCTCTGTCGCCCGCTACCCATGCGTGCCACCAGGTGCGCCCCAAGGCACTGCTGGAAGCCATGGAATCGGCGATGCAGAGCACACCGGGCGGCGACGGGCTGTTCGTGTCGTCGGGGCGGCGTCGGCAGCAGCCGCGGCCCGCTGCTCGGAGCATGGGGCCCAAGCTGAGTGGCCGCATCCTGCTCGCAGAAGACAACCTGGTGGGTGGGCGAACGATAGGCAGGGTGGGGGTTCTTTTGGTTCGCAAACAAAGCTTGCTTATACTGGATACCAACGGACAGAACTACGGCAGGCAGGGTGGTATGGTGGCAGGGTGGTATGGTGGCAGGGTGGTATGGTGGCAGGGTGGTATGGTGGCAGGGTGGTATGGTGGCAGGGTTGTGCGAGAGTGGAAGGCAGAGAGGCAGGGTGGCAGGGCGTTGTTAGTGGGTGGCAGGGCGTTGTTAGTGGGTGGCAGGGCGTTGTTAGTGGGTGGCAGGGCGTTGTTAGTGGGTGGCAGGGCGTTGTTAGTGGGTGGCAGGGCGATGCTGCCACAGCTCGGGGTGAGCATTGAGTTGACGCACAAGTCGCCCTTCCGCCTCACTCTCTCTACCCGTCCCCTGTGTGCGTTTTTCTGTGTGGCCCGATGGTGAGCAGATAAACCAGAAGGTGGCCAAGTCGATGCTGGCGCAGCTGGGCGTGAGCATAGACATCGCCAACAATGGTGTGGAGGCCGTCAGCCTCTTCCAGAAGAACAAATACAACCTCATCCTCATGGACTGCCAGGTCAGCACCTTATCCTCATGGACTGCCAGGTCAGCACCTTATCCTCATGGACTGCCAGGTCAGCACCTTATCTGCATGGACTGCCAGGTCAGCAACCTCATCCTCGTGGACTGCCAGGTCAGCACCCTCATCCTCAGGTCTGCTTTGGAGTCGACTCAAAAGCGGACTGCCAGATCAGCAACCTCATCCCCATGGACTGCCAGGTAACCTCATCCTCAAGGTTCACACAGCTGCTACTCTGGTATTGTGATTCGTCCTTGTGTGCCACTCTCGGCCATGTGTGCCACTTGCATGCCCATGTCCATTTAGATATTCAAACTTGTCTCTTTCCAAACACGTGTGCATGTGCAATGAGCAGATGCCGGAGATGGATGGGTGGGCAGCGAGTCGCAGGATCAGGGAGCTGGAGGCACAGCAGGCACAGCCATCCGTCACCATCGTCGCTCTTGTAAGCCCCTTCCACCACCCTGCGCCTTCCCCCCACCTCCCTCTACCTGCTTCCTTTCTCCCCCTCCCTCCGCCTCCTCCCTCTCCTGTGTTTGCCCTTCACCTTGTTCTGTATGCCTCTCTTTTAAGCCATGCGTCTGTCTCACCTACCCATCAGCCTCTGTTTCCTTGTAAGCTCATCTCCCCACTACCAGCACTGATTTCTTTTCCTCTCTCTGTGTTTCCCCGCCCTGACCTCGCACATCCTCGCCACATGTCCAACTCGCCGTGCATTCATCTCCCCTCGCCCCACTTGTCTCCCCCCCCCCCCACGTGTGCACCCACTGCCAGACGGCCAACGCTCTCAAGGGCGACAGGGAGCAGTGCCTGGCTGCCGGCATGACAGGTGGGTGCATGGGGATGGGGCCGCCACGTGTGTGGGGGGGGAGTGGGTTGTACGTTGTGGGCTTCACGCATATCTCTGCTCCGCCCTTTCCCTGGCATCTCTCAACATTGCTGCTTCCTTGCTTCTGCTCCTCACCCTTCCCCCCTTACAGACTACATGTCCAAGCCTGTCAGCAAGGCCGCTCTGGAAAGGGTCCTCAGGCAATACCTTGACAAGGCATCAACTGATGGAGGCGTGAAATGAGCAAGGTGTGAACTGAGAGGGAGGTATACTAGACTGAGAAAGCCATGAACAGGGAGGGCAGAGCATGTGCAGTGGATGAATGAATGTACCATAATTGGGACATACGCCTTAGAAGAGGCCGCGTGGTTCTGTTGCTCCTCCTGAGCCTGTTTCCTGTGACTTACTGCTGCATTCAGTCTCCTGTCTCCTGAGCTTGTCTGCCAGCGGCTAGGGGTACTAGTTCTAACAGTTCACCCATCCTGCAATACATCTGCAGGTGATTTTATGCGCATGCAATGAATTGATGTGCATTATATTGTTCAGAATCACCTGCACTGGGGCAGCCGAATGGTTGGTTGGTTACCACTGACCAACCGTAATTTATTCCAGGTATGTGCTTATCCTAGTTACTTCAGGTTGCGCAAGCATTGTGTCAGATTCCAATTAGTATGACTTGTTTTGTTATAAGAGGGGTGAGAGCATATTAGCGGTGTGCAACAGGATAATAACAGGAATATTTTGCACAAAATGTACAATCAGGTCAAAGAATACGTGTATCTCGTGTAAATTGGTTGGAATCTTAATCGATTCCCTACAGCGAAAGCCCAGCCCAGGTGTAGTTCGGAACCCCTTGGGAGCGCTGGCGATTCAGCAGCTGACGGACCCGTTGAAATTGGAGAACGAACGCCTGCAAAGTAAAAAATGGAAAGGAAGAAACAAGCTTATTGAGTGTGACGCCATGGTTAGTGTCGTGAATGTGTGAAACGCTCTTCCGCATCCAGCAGGGAAGGCTGGCGCGAAACGGGTATGCAGCAGTCACTGGGGTGCGATCTGGCCGCAGCTGTAATGAGGACCCTCTTGGCGACGGAGCCTGGTAGCTTGAGCAAGAGAGGCTGGTACGCGGCCATACATATAACGAGCAAAGTAGGTAACGAAGCTAGCGAACTCAGAAGCTTGGTCAAATTTACGACTAGTTGCGGGACAACGAGCGATGCCTCAGTCGGAGGATGCGGCATCGAAGACAGCGGCATGCGCAGGGGTAGGTTCAGCTGCTTTCGCAGCAACCCCCGCAACCGCAGCTCCTACCACTCAAGTTTCTTTCATCATAGGCAACGCTAGCAATGACCCGCACAACGAAAGCATGAAAAACTAGAATCCAATCAATGGAAAAGCGAGTAAAGCGCATAAACAAGTCACGGCCATCAGTTGGGAGCATTCTTGTCGCCAGTGCCAACCCGTAAGAGCGGCAGTCAGACTTCAACAAGGACAGGTATAGCATTCATCACACGGGCGTGACCAGTACCACAACGAAATTTATCGCAACGACAACTTCAAACATGCCTGGAAGAACGACAAAGCACGAAGAACGTCGAAATCGCAAGTTCAGTGGATGCGAGAAAGGGATTAGTGGTAGGAGGGCGAACAAACGGCTCCCATCAGAAATAATCCATCGTCAGCGGCGTACCGTCTGTCTGCAGCGAGTGCAGCGCGGGGCCATCGGAAACGGCGGTGAGATGACATCGCGCGGGAGACGAGGGATTCGCAACATGAGAAATCATATGGTCAGACTGTGAGCACACGGACACGACAAAAGGAAGAGAATGGCTTACCTCGGCAGACTCTCGAAAGATCTGTCGCGGCAGCGTCGCGCACATAGTATCGAATGCGTCACGCGCATAATTACAGCTGCATATTCACAGCGGCACAGAGGAGCTTCCACTCGTCCTGGGCCATGGTGTTACCCTGACGGAAAAAGGGAGCTTACTGGAACAGTTGTCCCACAGGGAGAACGCCTTCATCCTGGTGGCATGATTCTGTGAACCTAGGAACCGCAGATTGCCCAAGGATCGTTAACATGGTGACTGAGCATTTATGCTGAAATCCACCTTGCAAAGCTACAAGGGTGGATAACCACCAACGGGTCTGCTTGTGCAAGGTTCTCTGCTCGCGAAAATACCAATTGTGCTGTTTCGCTCCTGGCTCGCGAACAGCGTATCAGAAATCGCGATCTTCCTTACTAGCTGCGCTTCTTCTAGACATTGTTAGACTATATCTAAAGTCCTCAGGATAGCAATCAGATAATTAATACTGTTGATTCGTTTTCTGTTTATCATCCACCACAAGAGGTTGTGTTACAAACAAATTCATCTATCCTTATCCTTTGATATATATCATAATGCAAAAAAAACCTCAATACTTTAATGCACCCTTCTTGGCACATCTCATTATCATTGCGCCATAGAGATGTATCATTGTTATTTCGATCATGATAGGATGAGAAGGCACACAACTGCAGCATCATGTCAAAGTACATATACTCTTTATATTCTGTAAGTTTGAACCATGTGGCTAATTGGCATTCGGAAGTGCACATTAAACAGGATAAAAAGTTGAAGGCCCATCTTAGATGCCATGCTTTCAAGACATATGGTAACGATAGCATATTCAAGGCTGCGTTCTTTCCTACACGTTTGCACCGAAAGCGCATTGCTCATGCACAACTATACAGCAATCATGTGCATACAAGATGCCATGAATGAGGGTGCGATGTACCATAAGTGCTAGGACAGCAGCAAATCTCCATCCGACTGCCATATCACTCATCTATACGTGACCGCTTCTTAGAAGCCGAAGCCCTCCCCTCTCCCTCCCCATCTGCCTTCCTCTCCCCTTCCACCTCCATCGCACTCACCTCCCCTCCACGCCCTTTCCTCCCTGACCCACCACCACCTGCACTCCCAGGCGTTGATCTTGCACCCGCACCAGCAGCAGCAGCAGGGGAGCCATCTGGAGCGTCCATGTTGAGGTCAAACACGAACCCCTTTGCACTGGGTGTGCCTTCCCCATCACCCCCTCCCTCCCCTTTCCCATCCCCCCTACCTGCCGCTACAGCCGGACCAGTCTTCTTGCCCACCGAACCACTCAGGCCCTTAGCAGCAGCAAGTGGAGTCCCAGCAGCCGTAGCAGCCGCTACAGGCGTGGATGGAGCATCGGCGGCAGTTGTAGCACCCACAGCACCAGCAGCAGCAGGGGCTTGCAGGGGAGTGGCAGGCGTAGCTGCAGTTGGTGCAGGAGGCAGGGCGTTACCAGCTGCAGCATCCTTCCCTGCATCGCCCACAGCCTCTTTATTAGCTGCTCCTTTCCCAGCGTCTTTGACCGCGTCTCTATCGCCGTGCGAGTCCTTCTTGGGCTTGCCCTTGTGCAGCTTCACCCGCACCTCGTCTGGTAGCATGTCCGGTGGCACCACTCCCTCCATGCCCAGATCGCCAAACTGGAGCAAGAGAGAGGAAAGGGGGCATGGGAAAAGAAAGGGGGCGTGCAAGAGGAAAGCGAGTGTGAGAAAGGAAAGAGGGCGTGGGAGCAGAAGGGTGACATGTGTGATGGCACCACCCCCTCCATGCCCAGATCACCGAACTGGAGAGAGAGAAAGGAGGAACATCAGGGTGGTGGGAGCAGAGAGGTAGAGAGGGTGGGGAGCTGTGCTTTTGTGCAACCTACGCATGTGTGGTGTCACCACTCCCTCCTTGCCCAGTCGCCAAACTGGAGAGGGAAAGGAGAAGGAGCGGGGCAAGCACGACAACCCAAAACCTGAAAACATTTACTGAGTTCTAGACTTTGAACGCGGTTCTGTGCGCACCAGCAGCACACCCTATTCACGGCACGGGCAGGGCAGCTCACCCTGTTGAAGGCCTCGATGTCGGACCGTGCAGCGAGGCGCAAGGCCCTCCAGCAGAAGACCTGCCCCACGTGATGGATCAGGGAGGGGGTATGGGGCAGGAGAGAGAGAGAGAGAGAGAGAGAGAGAGAGAGAGAGAGAGAGAGAGAGAGAGAGAGAGAGAGAGAGAGAGAGAGAGAGAGAGAGAGAGAGAGAAGAGTTGAAAGAAGACAAGAAATTGAATACTGCACGTTCCCAGACAGCCACCACCCAGTCTGCCCCTCATACCCCTGCTACCATTCCAACCTCCGCTGCTGCTGCATCCGCTGCTACCCGTGCTATCCATGCTACCCATGCTGCCTCTCACCTTGTCATTCGTCCGGTGGTACTCCGCCTCGATGCAATTCTCCGGGTCCATCTGCTCTCATGCAAGCAAGCAAGCATGCTGCCATGCTGCACCTGCTTCTAGTGCTGCCCCTGCTACCCTGCTACCCATGCTGCCATGCTGCACTGCTGCTAGTGCTGCCCGTGCTACCCGTGCTACCCATGCTACCTCTCACCTTGTCATTGGTCCTGTGGTACTCCGCCTCTATGCAATTCTCCGGGTCCATCTGCTCGCTCACAGACACCACACAAGCAACACACGGACACGGGGAAAAAGGGGATTGTGGCACGGCAACAACACAACAGACTTGTAGTAAGAGGCGAACCAATCCCTTTTTTTTTCAGCACAAAGACGAGTGGAGATGAGGGCGTTGATAGACCAGGCCACATTCCCAGCAATGAAATAGCTAGGCTGGGGATGAGGGCTCCACTGTGAATGGTGTAACACCAGGTATTCCATGTGGGAATGCAGTCCAAACACACTGTATGGAGGCCCATTAATACCAGTCGAATGCAGCAACCAGCATCACCTGCCGCGCTCACATCACCAGCCACACCACGCATGGCTCACATCACCAGCCACACCACGCATGGCTCACATCATCAGCCAGCGGTTGAATGAAGTCTCGAAACGCCGGCACTGCCACCTGCTCTGGGTCCGTCAAGGCATCCTGCAGGGGGGAAGCACGAGGGGTGGGAGATGAAAGGGGCACGGACAGGGACGGAAGGTGAGGGGCGGTGCAAACGAGAAGGGCAGGAGAGCGATGAATGATGCAAAGAGGGGTTGGTGATGGTGTCGGGATGAGAGACCAGAGGGCACCGGGTGCAGGCAGGTTCTCGAGACGAGGACGAGAGTGAAAAAACAAGGCCTCTGCTGAGCAGGGGGGGGCGGGAAGGAGAAGAGCGGCTCACAGGGTGCTTGTCAGCCCATCGAAACAGCCGATCCAGCTCCTTGTTCCCCATCAGGTAACGCGGCCTGAGCGGGTGGTAGAAAGGAGAGAAAGGGCGCGTCACGTAAACCCATGAGGTAAGGGAGAGAGAGGAAGGAATGGCAGAGCGCAGATTCTCAGACCTCATCGCCCATCCTAAATAGGGCACATACCGTTTGGGTGTTGGGTCGCGGCGGGGAGTGAGGTCAGCTGGGGGGCGGTCGAAGGGCGGACACACCTCCTTCTTCCATGCCACCTGGCGGGCATGCAATGCGGTTCAGAGGTGTTGACAAACATGTGACGGGGGTCAAGGACCAAACGTAAGTCACTGGTTGTACACACTTGAATCGAAGGATTTTTTTTTTTTTTTTTTTTTTTTTTTTTTTTTTTTTTTTTTTTTTTTTTTTTTAAATTGAACCAACAAACCAGAAAAGTATCCTAAGTTCATAGAAATTTACCAGCTCCCCCACTTTCACCCCCAACCTTCTCATCCCCACCTACAACCCCCACCCTTACCACCCCCCCTCACTTCAACCCCCCCCCACGCACCCAGTGCTTCTCTCGCCGCATCACGTGCTCCACAGACGTCAGAAAGTCCTCGCCGCCCGGCGGTAACCTTCTCAGAAGCTTCTTCACCCGCGCCTCAAACTCCCGGGCCTCCGCCCTCTGAGCAGGCAGCAGGCAACGCAAGGGAGTGGGAACAACGTCTGAGATGAAAGCGTGTGTGGTTGGTTAAGTGATTAAAGAAGTGTTTTGAGACGTCTCAAAACAACGCAAGGGAGTGGGAACAACGTCTGAGATGAAAGCGTGTGTGGTTGGTTAAGTGATTGAAGAAGTGTTTTGAGACGTCTCAAAACAACGCGGGGGAGTGGGAACAACGTCTGAGATGAAAGCGTGTGTGGTTGGTTAAGTGATTGAAGAAGTGTTTTGAGACGTCTCAAAACAACGCGGGGGAGTGGGAACAACGTCTGAGATGAAAGCGTGTGTGGTTGGTTAAGTGATTGAAGAAGTGTTTTGAGACGTCTCAAAACAACGCGGGGGAGTGGGAACAACGTCTGAGATGAAAGCGTGTGTGGTTGGTTAAGTGATTGAAGAAGTGTTTTGAGACGTCTCAAAACAACGCAAGGGAGTGGGAATAACGTCTGAGATGAAAGCGTGTGTGGTTGGTAAAGAGACAACGGAGTGCATGACTGGGAGGATGAGGGGGTCTCAAAGGGGAGACGCTTACCATGGCTTCTCGCTTATCGTCCTTCTCTGCCTTCCCTGGAATCTGCACCTCACACATCGCACAGAACAGGCAAAGAGGATAGAAAGCTTAGTTTGTGGCCCCTTCACACTCTACAGCGCAGAGCACTGCGCAGCAAGGAGCAGTAGGGAGCAGCACGTACCGCACAACACCGCACAGCACCGCAGAGCACGCACCATGAGGAATTCGAGGAGGATGAGGCACTGAACGAGGAACTGGCGCCTGAAGCTGCCTTTTGTGGGGACTCAAAAGCAGCACCGCACAGCACCACACAGCACCGCACAACACCGCGCAGCACGCACCATAAGATACTCCAGCAAGATGAGGCATTGCACGAGGAACTGGCGGCGGAAGCTGCCATCCCTGAGCTCCAGCTGCAGCAGGCTCGTACTCGTCAGATACTTCATGCTGTACGCCCCCAGCATCTCCCCCACCGCCTCCCCCACCCCCCCTGCTC